ACATCGCTCTCGGGGACCGATCGAGCACGCCACTGTACATGCCGTTGCGACAAATGCAGCTGCCGCGCCGTTTAAGGGGCGCTGCTTTGCTTGCAATAGGCCGGGCCATCGCAAGAGTGAGTGCCCAGAGGAGCTGAGGCGCCGCGGAGCAGAGCAGGGGAGGGAGTCTCCAAGGCAGGGAAACGCCAGCAGTCAGTAGGAATCGGGCCAACTACTGACGAGACTGCCTGCTCGCCCAACCTCACCGACCCTCACCGAGTCACAGTACCGATTCATGCTATCGATCGGGCTTGGACGAATAAGGAGGGTACAGCGACGGATTGCCCAGTACTGATCCACGGGAAAATACTGGGAGCAGCAGTGAAGATTTTTATAGACGGAGGAGCAAGTCACAGCTTAGTTAATACTGCAACCGCACGGAAGCTGCAACTGACACTTAGTCGGTGTTTACCCGAGATAGATGCACGCTTAGTTGATGGCATGCCACTGGCCATACGGGACAAGGTGGAGAGAGTGAAAGTCCGCTGCGGGGGAAACTTCGGGTTTACACAGGAAATGCTCGCGACGACACTGGATGGGCACGATATATTATTAGAACGTGATTGGCTGCGACGGTACAACCCGCGAATCGACTGGACGATGGGTAGCTGCACTGTGCGAAGTAGCGGTAACTGGGTCGAGCTACCTCGCTGGCAGTCACCCGAGTCTTCAACGGTCCACGTCAACCCCGTCACAATGAAACGGGTTGTCGCCGCTGGAGCTGATGTGTACGCAGTGGATATAGCAGTAGTGGAGGAAGCAGAGCAGCCGAACGATTTTCAGAAACTGCTGGCAGCAGTACCACCCGAACTGCAAGAATTGTTGAAACGGTACCCGGGGATTTTTCCCGACGACTTACCGGAGGGACTGCCACCTCAGCGAGCACGACCACCGAATAGAGTTAGAACCCGGGGCACAGCCAACCGTACAGTGACAGTTCAGACTGACACAGCCCGAGCTCGATGAACTGAGGAAGCAGTTAGACTACCTGTTAGAGAAGAAATTCATCCGACCAAGCTCATCACCGTTCGCCGCACCGATACTGCTCACACACAAGAAAGACGGAGGGTTTCGCATGTGTATTGACTACAGAGCACTGAACAGGGTTACAGTCAAGTCGCGATATCCCATTCCCCGCGCCGACGAACTGATAGATCAACTGCGAACAGCACGGGTCTTTTCGAAAATTGATTTACGGGGAGGTTACCACCAGATCCGGGTCGAACCATCAGACTGCGCCAAGACAGCATTTAGGACTAGGTACGGGTCATTCGAGTATACAGTGATGCCTTTCGGGCTGACCAACGCACCGGCGACATTCCAGATGACCATGAACGAGGCGTTTAGGCCGCTCTTAGATAAATGCGTGATAGTTTACCTCGACGACATCCTCGTCTACAGTCGCGATAAGCAGCAGCACTTAATAGATCTGGAAGCAGTATTAAAAAACTTAGATGAGCACCGGCTACTGACCAAGGGTTCCAAGTGCGAGTTCTTCCAGGACAGGCTAGAGTTTTTGGGACACGTTATTTCGGAGGCTGGGGTTGAAATTGACCCAAAGAAGCTGGACACGGTAAAAGCCTGGCACCCCCCGACGAATATCACGGAGTTGCAAAGTTTTTTGGGATTCGTCAATTACGTGCGTCGGTTCGTCCCCGACATGGCACGGTTAACAGCGCCGCTGACGGAATTGCTACGGAAGGGGGTCACTTTTACGTGGGGGGAGAAAGAGCATGCTGCCTTCTCTGCCCTGAAACATGTTCTCTGTTCACCGCCCGTACTGCGCATCGCCGACCCACACCGACCATTTGAAGTAGTTACAGACGCAAGCGACATCGCCATCGGAGCCGTACTGCTACAGGATTTCGGCAACGGCCTACAGCCCATCGCATACGAGTCACGAAAACTGCATCCGCCCGAGAAAAATTACCCGATACACGACCGCGAAATGCTCGCGATCGTGCACGCATTCAAAGTGTGGCGCTGTTACTTGACCGGCGCAGACGTGACAGTACGGACAGATCATAAGTCGCTACAGTACCTCCGCGCACAGCCCCACCTCAACCCACGACAGATCTGCTGGCTCGATTTCTTCGAGTCCAATTTTCACTACACGGTCACCTACAAAAAGGGGGCGTCCAACATCGCTGACGCACTGACCCGCCCTACTGCCCAAATCCACGCGATACTACTTGCCCAGACCAGTCCACTACTGACAGGCCTATTTACCCACGGATACCAGACATACCCGTTCTTCACAGGAAGAAATTCGCAGCAGTTCGCAGCAGCAAAAGGGAGTTTATTATGTAAAAGCAGGCACTGACCGCATCTGGGTACCAGAGTACACACTACTACGGGAATTACTGCTACAGGAGGCACACGACGGAGTCACCTCAGGCCACTTCGGGGTAGAGAAAACACGGCAGCAGCTGCAGCGGTATTATTACTGGCCCGAAATGTTGACCGACGTACAGCGGCACGTGGCATCGTGTCCCACTTGCCAGCTCATGAAATCATCACGGAAACGGCCGGCAGGACAGTTGCAGCCGATACCACCCCCAGAGCGTGCTTGGCAGCAGGTGACGATGGACTTCGTCACGGGGTTACCGGCCGGAGCAAGTGGGAACGACGCGATCCTGGTCGTCGTCGATCGGCTGACGAAAATGGCACATTTCGCAGCCTGCAAGAAATCGATCACAGCCGAAGAAACAGCCCGTCTCTTCATCTCCACCGTCGTTCGACTGCACGGGATACCAGCAGCAATCATCAGCGATCGTGACACGAAATTCACCAGCAATTTCTGGCGGAACCTGTGGCAGCAGTTCGGCACGCGACTACAGTTTAGTTCTTCGTACCACCTCGAGACCGACGGACAGACAGAAAGGACAAACCAGACCATGGAACAGCTCATCCGAGCCACGTGCGACGACCCGACCACCTGGGAACAGCAACTGCCACTCATCAAGTTCGCGTACAACAACTCGCCATCCGCCACGACCCAACAGTCCCAGTTTTATCTGAACTACGGACAAGACCCCACAGTACCAATGACCCCGAATCCCGACAACACAGTCCCACGCGCACAACAGTTCGCAGAAATACTGCAAGCAGCACGGACCCGAGCAGCAGAAGCAATAAAAAAATCAAACATCATCGCTAAGCGCAACGCCGACCGACATCGCCGCCCCGTCACTTATCAACCCGACGACCTGGTATTACTCGACACTCAAAACCTCCGCCTGCCCATCACCCCAAAACTCCGCCCCCGATATTGCGGGCCATTTCGCATCAGCCACATGATCACACCCGTCACCGCCCATCTCCTCCTCCCTGCTGACTGGTACGTTAGCCCGTCATTCCACGTCAGCCTGCTTCGCCCATACGTACCATCCACCAGCCAACTGCCTCGCAACCGCCCCGCCAGCATGACACGACCGCCGACAGAGCCAATCATCATGCCCGAAAAAATACTGAGCCACCGAGTACGTGACCCACGGGGAGCCCGCAAGATCGAATTCCTGATCCGCTGGAAGTCCGCACGCCCACCGAAGACAACTGGGTTTCCCTGGATAGAGTTGAGAATCACCCTGTCCTAACTGAGTATCTACGCAGCCAAAACTTTCGCGATGTACACGCGCTCTCGTAAGAGGGGCCTCCTTGGGGAGGGGGGTAGTGTAAGGAAAACCCCTTTTCCTTACTTCGCGTCCCTACTTACCGCGTACATGCCTGTTCCCGCCATCGGCACCCACTCGTGAACGTTACCCGCTCGCGACACTCGCCTCGACTACGACTCCCGCCACCGTTCACGATGCGACCCAACCTCACGGTTCGGTTGGTAACCTGCGCTCCGGACCTCCGCCTCGACATTTCCCCAACCTCGGCGCTAGGCCCGTCGCGCACCCCATTTTTACGCATGACCGTTACCACTGTAGTTTCGCTATATATTGTTCGCTCATGCCTTCGTTCATTGTACTCTTGCTTCGATAGTGCAATCTTCGTTCGTTCACTCAATTGCACTCGTAACAGCAGGATTCAAGTGGCTGCAGAGTACAGTATTTTACACAACTCAATTAGATAAGAAAAATCTAAAGCGAATACATACTTTAACTATTCTGGCATATCACTGTAGCCAGTTGCGCAACTCAATTAAGGAACAGTACTATGCTAGACAAATTTGCAGCTTTATAGGTATCAATTTACATACAGTGTAACAGTGGGCTACAGCAACTCTGGGAAGAACAGTGGTGGTAAACCACACTGCCTTCACAACCTCATCTCCAGCCCCCAAGCAGTGCCACCAAGTGGTATACCACCACCACTGCTCCAACCACCACCACTCGTCACCGCACACCACCAACCAACAACTCCACCACCACTTCTCACCAACAGCACCTCCATCCAGGAGGCTAGGTGACACTCCCTCACTGCCTGCCAGCAGTGCCACTGCATGGCATGGCATGGCATGCCACCACAACCACTCCTCACAGAGAGGAGGGTAGTGAGGCAAGGCAGAGTGCTAGTGGAGGGGGGCTGAACCCCCTGGGTAAGGCGAGAGCAAGGAAGAGAGAAAGAGGTTGAGCCTCCCAGAGCATGGCTAGTGAGAGGCAAGAGAAGAGGACTGAAACCACCAGACCAAGGCAAGCTAAGGACAGAGGAGGGGGTTTCCTCTTCCCCTTGCTTGCCTCAGCCTGGGGATTCCAATCCCCCTCCCCCCCCTTGCCCTCACAAGCCTTGCCCTGAAAGGCCAACCTCCTTCCTCCGCCTTGCTCTCCCCACCACTCCCCACAGCCACTCGCCAGGAGCACCACAGCAGCAGCAGCAGTGAGGCTATGAGCCAGCCCAAGACCTGAACCCTCACCGACGTAGCAAGAGGGAGCCCCACCAGACCCCCGGCCGCAGGGCCTGGTGTTCGTCCATTATGCCTTAACGTGCGGCTATTGGAATCCAGGCTTGAAACTGACTCACACCCCCACTGCCACCCCACCTCCACCACCACCACCACCACCACCACCACCACCACCACCACCACCACCACCACCACCACCACCACCACCACCACCACCACCACCACCACCACCACCACCACCACCACCACCACCACCACCACCACCACCACCACCACCACCACCACCACCACCACCACCACCACCACCACCACCACCACCACCACCACCACCACCACCACCACCACCACCACCACCACCACCACCACCACCACCACCACCACCACCACCACCACCACCACCACCACCACCACCACCACCACCACCACCACCACCACCACCACCACCACCACCACCACCACCACCACCACCACCACCACCACCACCACCACCACCACCACCACCACCACCACCACCACCACCAACACCAACACCGCCACCAACACCACCACCACCACCAACACCAACACCGCCACCACCACCACCAGAGGGTACCTGTCAGGGGGGAGGGGAGAAAAACTAAGTTAGTTTAGAAATAGAAGCATTGGAGAAGCAAAGGAGGGCAAGAAGCAAGAACAACTGAAGCAGAATGAGAAAGCAAGTGAAGCTGAATGTGAGAAAGCAAGAGAAAGGCAAGAGGCAGAACGAGGCTTGCTATCTTACCTTGCGCACAGCAGCGAGCCCCTCGGTCCGCCAGTGGCAGTAACAGTCCGCTCAGCAGCAGAAGTAGCGTGGAGTGAAGCTGACCAACACCACCAACGCCGCCACCACACCACCACCACCACCAACGCCGCCATCAGCACCACAGCCGTCACCACAACCGCTGCCGCCGCCGCCTGCGCCTCCACCAGCAGCAGCAACCGTGGCTGAACGCACAACGACTTCCCCTTCCAACGGCGGTACCTGTCAGGAGGGGGGGAGAGCAAAAAAATTAATTAGCCCAGAGGTGAAAGCACTGGAGCAGCAAAGGAGGGCAAGCAGCGCGATGAAGCAGAAATGAGAAAGCAAGTGAACGGCGAGAGGCAGATGCAAAAGTATGCAAGGATGAGGTGGGAGGCTTTCTGTCTTACCTTGCACACAGAAACGAGTCCATCAGTCCGCCAGTGATGGTGACAGTCCGGGCTGCAGCAGCAGCAGCAGCAGCAGAAGCAGAAGCAGCGTGGAGTGGAGAGCAGAGAGGACAGCCAAGGTACCTGCTGGGGGAGGAAGGATGGGGTGAAAAACACAAGTTAGTGGAGGCAATGAAGGCACATCCAAAGAGGGCGACATGCCAAAACAAGCACACATGCGCGCGGGAACGAGCTCTGCTGCTGCGCACACCCATGGGGATACCTTTCTGTGGGGGTTAAAAACACAAGTTAGTGGAGGCAATGAAGGCAAATCCAAAGAGGGCGACATGCCAAAACAAGCACACATGCGCGCGGGAACGAGCTCTGCTGCTGCGCACACCCATGGGGATACCTTTCTGTGGGGGTTATACCCTAAACCTTGCAGTCTGAACCCGTTACCTGGGGAGCCCTAGGGCGTGCTACAGGCAGCTGGAGCGATGTGAAGTGCATGAAAGTGAGAAATTGCAGAAGCAGGAAAAGGCGGAGGGAGAGAGGGAGGAGCGGAGGTACTCATCTGATCTCTTGCGAGGAGCGTGTGGCAGGCGGTCTGTGCAGCCAAGGAAGAGCGCCCTGCTGCCCGCCAAGTCGCTGCATGCGGGTCCAGAGAAACCTGCCAAGGGGGGCGGGGGGAGGGGGGGGTTGGGAGGGCGGGGGGTGGGAGTGGGAGTTTGGGCGGGTAAGTGGGACGGCAGGAGAAGGATGGGAGCAGCAAGGGTTGATGTGCGTGGCATGAGTGGAAGCGGAGGGAGTATTGCTGTCGCACACCCAAGGGGGTACCTTCAGTAAAAGAAAACCTGGTGGGGGGTATACCTGACCTATCAGTGTGAACCTAAGACCTGGGGGGACCCTTGAGTGTGGTGCGAGCAGGTGGAGTGACATGAGCAATGCATGGGCGAGAATGATGGATGATGAAAAAATCAAAGGCAGAGGAGGTTGAGGAGAGGGGAGGTGTTACTCATCTGTGTCTGATGTGCGCGCAAGCAGCAGGGACGCTCGCGAACGCAGCAGGGACGCTCGCGAAGGCAGAAGGCACGTCTGCGAAAGCAGCAGGGACATTCGCGAAGGCAGCAGACACGGGGACTGAAGGGAATGGGGGAGGGGAAGGTGGGAGTGGGGGGGTGAGTAAGTTAATGCCACTGGAGGGACAATAGGACAAGCATGGGAGCAGCAAGGGTTAAATGTGCGTGGCATGAGTGGAAGCGGAGGGAATACTGCTGTCGCACACCCAAGGGGGTACCTTCTGTTACAAAAAGAAAACCTACAGTGGGGAGTATACCTGACTATCAGTGTGAACCTAAGACCTGGGGGGACCCTTGGGTGTGGTGCGAGCAGGTGGGGTGACATGAGCAATGCTGGGCGAGAATGATGGATGATGATAAAATCAAAGGCAGAGGAGGTTGGGGAGAAGGGTGGTGATACTCATCTTTGTCTAACGTTCGCGAAGGTAGCAGGAACGTTCGCGAAAGGCAGCACAGACGTTCGCGAAGGGACATTCGCGAAGGCACCAGGGACGTCCGCGAAGGCACCATGAACGTTCGCGAAGGGACGTTCGCGAAGGCAGCAAACGCGGAGACTGAAGGGAATGGGAGAGGGGAAGGTGGGAGTGAGGGGCAGAGTAAGTTAATGTCGTTGGAGGGACGGAAGGACAAGCATGGAGCAGCAAGGGTTAATGTGCGTGGCATGAGTGGAAGCGGAGGGAATACTGCTGTCGCACACCCAAGGGGGTACCTTCAGTAAAATAAAACCTGGTGGGGGTATACCTGACCTATCAGTGTGAACCTAAGACCTGGGGGGACCCTTGAGTGTGGTGCGAGCAGGTGGGGTGACATGAAACATGCATGAACGAATGAATGATGGATGATGAAAAAAATCAAAGGCAGAGGAGGTTGAGGAGGTGGCGATACTCTCATCTGTGAAGGCAGCAATGTCGTCCGCGAAGGCAGCAATGTCGTCGGCAAAGGCAGCAATGTCGTCCGCAAAGGCAGCAGCATCGTCCGCGCAAGCAGGAGGGAGGTCCGCGCAGGCATCGAAACTGGAGCGAGGGTGGGGGGAAAGGGGATGAGTTAGCGGCAGTGGAGGGAGAGGAGCAAGAGGAGAAGAACGATCCAAGCAGGAGTCGTGAGACAAGCATGCACGAGTGGTCATGACATGAAAGCAGCGCCGGCAGCAGCACACCCAAGGGGGGAACCTTAGTCTGAACCTTACCAGCCTGTAAGCACACCTGGGCTAAAACATTTTGCACCTGCGAAGGAGGTACCTGATCTTACCAGTCCGAACCTGATACCTGGTACCAAGGGGTTGGGTGTGCGGCTGAGCAGGCGAGCAGCAGACATGCGAAGAGAAGGCGAGACGGCGGGTAACATGCATGCAAAATGTGCGCGTGAGGAGCAGAGAGCAGAGGCTGGTGCTTATCTTTCGAAAGTGCTCGTTGACTGAAGCAGAACGGCGTTGACTGAAGCAGAACAGCGTTGACTGAAGCAGAATGGCGTTGACTGAAGCAGAACGGCCTTGACCCGAGCAGGACGAAAGTTCACCCGAGCAGCACCAGGGACGTTCAATGGACGCAACGCGGCTCTGCGAAGGAACGGGGGAGGGACATGCGAGGGAAGGGAGTGAATGCAAGGGACGAGACGAGCGACGACGGAAATAAAAGGAGCGCGCGAATGAAACGAACAACGAAGGCTTGGCTGCTGTAGCACACCCTAGGCGGGGGGGTACCTTGGGCTTAAAATGTTTGCACCTGTAGTGGGGGACTGTGGGAACCATACCTTAGAGTCTGTACCTGAGACCTGGGGGGAGCTAGGGTGTGCTACAGGCGGCTTCCACGACGTGCAAGACAGAGGGACCTTAGTGCAAGTGATACTCATCGTAAAACGCGTTCGAAGCAGCACAGTTGTTGGCGCGCCTTCACGGACGCGCGGTCATCGAGTCGCCAACTGACGCGCCAGCACGCGACGTTGACTGGAGGCAGCGCGGCTCTGCGAAGGGACGGGGGAGGGAGGTACGAGGGAAAGGAGTGAATGCAAGGGACGAGACGAGCGACAATGGGGACAAAACGAAAGCGAGAATGAAACGAACGGATGAAACGAACCACAAAAGCTGCTGTAGCACACTCTAGCGGGGGGTTACCTTAGGCTTACCATACCAAGGCCATACCTGCACCGGGGTTAAAATATTTGCAGCTGCAGTGGGGGACCGTGAGAACTATACCTTAGGATCTATACCTGAGAGCTGGGGGGTGCTGAGGTGTGCTACAGGCAGCCTTAACGAAGTGAAATGCAAGAGGAAAGACCTTGCTGTTGGTGGGATACTCATCGTTAAACGCGTTCGGAGCAGCTAAGCCGTTGACGCGCCTTCACGGATGCGCCTTCGCGGACGCGCCGTCACGGACGCGCCGGAATCGCGTAGTGGAATGACGCGGCAGCAGCTACGGACGTTGGCTGACGCGTGCTCAGACGTTGGTCGATCTCAGACGGCCGAGAGTCTCGATGTGATCGCCAGCCTCTGGCATGCAAAACAAGCACGAGCAGAAAACGCATCAACACGTGCGGTCAATAAAAGACACGTGAAATCCGAGGGATGCGACTCTCTAGGCGAAATCCGGATCTAAGCTTACCTCTGGTTATGAAATGCGACGATGGAGCGTCGCGATCTCCAACGGAGAGTCGCGATCTTCAACGGAGAGCCGCGATTCTGAAGTACAAATGTCGCCAAATCTGTACGACATAAGATACGAACGTAATTAGTCATTATATTATTGGAAACAACAAAAGAAAACGAACCAAAAACGGCAGTTAAACGGAGACGTACTGGCGAAGATCCCGCAGGCGCAGAATAATCGTGGGTCGCGCACGCAGCGAGAAGCAATGGACGTGAAGCTCGAGCAGCGTCGCACATTGCTCGCGCAGTGTCGCACACTGCTCGACGCCTTGGGTGGTGGAAATGGCAAGATGCCGTGAAGGCGAAGCTCGTGCAGCGAACGTGCAGCTACGCACTGCTCGACGGCTAGAAGCTAGTGCGAGAGCAAAATAGGAGCGTCGTGATTGCTGCAGTAGAGGCTGCGGTTGAAAAATAATGGGAAGGCGAAACTAGAAATGATGGTTGCATGAGGAAATTAATACGCGATGTGGTGAGAGCGAGGTGACGTGTACGAGGGGAGATCGACGCGAGACGACTGAGAGGGCTGAAGGCGTGGGGCGAGAGTGGAAGCGCATATGGCGCGGCTGAAATCGAGGAGGTGGGTTGAGGAGGAGAGCAATCTGATAGCCCAAGACCCGAATTACAAAAAACGAACCGCAGCCAACAGTTTTGCCCCGCGTTGACTTGCATTGAGCAATTCAGGTCTTGGGCGGGCAGCGGCGTTGGCGGGAGCAGCATCATAGTTATGGACGGTGGAGGAGATTTGGGGAGGGAGGGAGCTGCTGGGTTCCGCATTTCAGGCACTCGCCCTTGGCCCTTTGGGCTCTTCTCTCCAACCAACTCCAAGGCCGCCTGCCACCCCACCAGATTTGCGGGTTGCCGTGGGGAGGCTGGGGAGGATGGAAATTTACAAGTGGTGTGCCTTACGATATACATGTTAGATCGATTTCGAGGCAACTCAGGATTGAATCACGTAAGTGCATTGGGCCCAATTCAAAGGGTACTTTCCTGAGTATTAGCAGATTTGGGGTTCAATATTCTGCTTGTTACGTAAGTTTCTCTGGTTCCGAGCATTCATGTGCCCAGAACAGAACTGCTTGTTTTCTGGTGAAAGTGCAGATATTAGGGTGTGTCACATCGACAACCATTTGCGAAAATGGCTTTTGGTCGAAGATCCGTCGACCATATGGTCGTCATTTCCTTCGCGAAAGTCGACGGATTGGTCGACAAAGTGTCGACTGTTAAAACCAGGGTGCACATTCAACGCGGTTCGGCTTGAGATGTTGGGAAGGGGGTTTGGAGAAAAACAGTGATTGGCTCACGAGGGGCGACAAAAAAATGATTCCGCTAGAGCTTCGGGCATTTCGTAGGTGGCGGGAGGGGGTGAAATGGCGGGAGTGGGTGAAACCGAATGGCGGGAGGGATGAAACAGATTGGCGGGAGGGGGGGGAAACGAAATTGCGGGGGAGGGGGGAAACAAAATTGCGGGGGAGGGGGGAAACGAATTTCGACGGGGAGGGGGAAATGAAATTGCGGGGGCGTGGGGAAACGAAATTGCGGGGGAGGGGGGAAACGAATTTCGACTTGAAGGGGTTGAAAGCACACCTCGTAACCCACTCAGTCAAGGGATAACCTTTGATGCACATTCAGCTGAATGTGGACCCCGGTTTTAAACGACCAGGATTTGCAGTTTTGCAGATGTGACAACTTTGATGGCCGATTTGCAGGCCGTTGTATCAAAGTTGTCACATTTGCATGTGCTACAGTAGCCGGAGATGTACGACGGGGTCGCAAATTTGACGGCGATGATTCTCATTGGCCGTGCGATACCCTGCGACTTCGCAGGTGAATCTCGCTCACCGTGTCGACTAGTTGGCTGGTTTGGAGTCGACACGGTGTTCGGTTTGGTTTCGGCCCGTTCAAACGGCCCTCAAATTCGCAAATTTTAAATAGAAATAACGACGGTCGTCAGGATTATGACGAACGTCGTTATGTGGTTACCTTCGCCAACAACGGCCCGACGGATTTCCCGAAAATTGTAAGTTTGGCGATGTGACACACCCTTACGAGCAGCTGAGAAGAACTCGTCTGAGGGCAGTGTTTCACATTGGCTCCGCCGCTGGCTTCGAGACTCGCGATATGTCGCGAAAATTGTTTGGACGAGAAATTGGCGATTTTATTTTTTTCTTCGGTCAGGTAGTGAACAGTGTTGCTAATCTGGCGAAAACAGTTGCCCGAAGAAATCATAGTTTAGCGCAAAGCCAAGCGCGGAAGAAATCAGTTTTCAAGTTAAATAAAAACGCGGTATTAGGTAAATAAGTAATTACCTCCAAAATGAGGTATCGACGGTTTTGCTTACAATTGCATAGGGTTACCAGACTATTTTGCATGCCTATGATGCTGGCCCCGAGAAATTGCGAAGTGTCCGACGTTTTAGCATCATCGACCAATCGTGTGCTTTCTGAAAACGAGAAACAAGCCACCGACGTTTGGACGTAACTACTCGGAGCCTGCCTTCGACTGCCTTGGTTTGGATGACGAACAGGCCCTGGAGAGACTTTCCCGCCAGCATTAACGTCCGTTAGGCATGAGCTAAACCCGTGGTTACACGGGCAGTAGCGTAGAATCGAAAAAAAAACAATGAAACATTGTTTTACAATCTAGTTTCCATTATTTTGCCATATACATACATTTACTTAACTGCACTAGCGAAACTTTCGAGTTCATAACCCCCCCGTTCTCCCCGTAGTTTTGCCAAACGAAGCCGCGTCGCAAACCGAAGCGCAAACTTGTTTCGGGCGCAAAAGGGGGAGCGGCGGAAGCAAGCCGTTGGGCAAGCAGCCTTGGGGTTGGTTGGGAGTGTCTGAAGGGCGCAGGGTTGGGGCCCCACTCCGCGATTCAGCCAGAAGCGTTGAGAGGCTAGCAGGCGAGAGCAGAGGTTGGTTTCAGGAAAGCCTGCGTTTACTCCACTCCACTCCACTCCACTCCCCACCCCACTTCTCCCCTCGCGCGCAACTTTCTCCTCAACTCGTCTCCGTCGCCCAGCCCACAGATCCCTCGCGATGTTTCGTGCTGCGATTTCTTTCTCCTAGGCTGTGTTGGTTGTCGCAACCAGCTCCGCACATTCGTTCGCACTTTCATTGTCGTGGACGCACAGAACTCAAGCAGTCAATTCTCTAGTCGCCAACGACTCTTCTTTCTATGTGAAAGTGAGAGTGAGCGATGTTGCTGCGTCCTTAGGTGAAAGCGATAGCGAGCGATTAACTTTTGTTTCTTGCTGCATCCTCATGAAGAGAAGACCGTCTCGCAGGCGATGGCACTTTTTTCCTGCAAGTTTGTCAACTCACTGCAAGAATTCCTTCAGCGCGACGACGAGTGTGCTTGGTTCTACTCGCGAATTATGATAGTCGACGTTCTTGTGACGTTTCTTCTCGCTGGGCGAGCGACTCCGATGACGGCTCGTGTGGCGATTCTATTCCGGCTAATAGAGCATCTTGCGGGCGACG